AGGATTCTCAGTAGTAAGGCAAGTAGAAGATATATGCTGCACCAAGAAATGAGTTTAGTAAGCAATAATAAAGGCATTTCACTAAGTGCACTACTTGGAAATAATGGGGTATTCTCATCCCAGAGTGGCTTTGTGGTTAGTGACATGATAGAGAAACAAATAACTTCATATGTCCCTGATTTGAATTCATAGACCACCATCTGAATTCCTCGAAGTCACTCAGACTCCTACACCAGATAGCCTGGAAACAAATGTCTTCCAGGTGATCTAGACTGTGGCTGTGGACTAGAAATACTTTATTAAAGAATAGGCTCTGAACTGGACAAACTCTTTGAGTTGCAGCAGGCCTTCCATCCAGGATTGTAGTTGATGGCAGGTAAGGGCTGGTTCATACTGGAGAGATATGCTGGGGTCCCATAGAGTGTATAGGCTCTGAAGCAGCTTGCCTGGGTTGAAACTCAGTTTTACCACTTACCTACCTGCTGTGTAAGCAGAGCAAGTCACTTGACCCCTCTGTGCTTCCAATTCCTCAAGACCCACGATGAATGTCTCAAGTACCTTAAGGCCCATGATGAAAGGGGAGGAAAGAACTTTTTAAATGCCTCCTATGTGCTGCATATATGAAGGGTATTATGTTCCTTTATACATAAGAAGAAATTAAGGCTCAAAGAGGTTAAATAATTTTTTCAAGAATACACAATCAGCAGAATGGGCAAAACTAGAGCAGAAAGATGAATGGTTTCCTCAGGCGGGTAGAGTGGTGAGGGGAGAAATTTGGGGAAAAGGAGAATGACTGCTAATGGGTATGAGATTTCTTGTAGGGATGATGAAAATGTTCTATAATTGATTACAGCAATTGTTACATAACACTGTGAATATAATAAAACCATTTAAAAAAAACCATTTAGGGGATCCCTGGGTGGCGCCTGCCTTTGGTCCAGGGTGCGATCCTGGAGACCCGGGATCGAATCCCACATCGGGCTCCCGGTGCATGGAGCCTGCTTCTCCCTCTGCCTATGTCTCTGCCTCTCTCTCTCTCTCTCTCTCTCTCTCTCTCTCTCTCTGTGACTATCATAAATAAATTAAAAAAATTAAAAAAAATTAAATTAAATTAAATTAAAAAACCATTTAATTGTACAGTTTAAATACATGATTTGTATGGTATGTAAATTAAGTCTCAATAAAGTGATTTAAAAAAAAAAGAGTGCACAGCCAAGAAGCATCAGTGTCTGATTCAGACTTGGGCCAGGAGGATGACTTTAAGGCCAGCTCTTTTTATCACGTCACACCATCTCTCACACAGAACCTGGTGCATCCTTCTCGCATAGGACACTATGTACACACACACAAAATCCAGGGATGGGAGGTAAGGGACTGTCCTTAGATGCCTAAGGACATTGGTGGCTCAGTGGTTGAGCATCTGCCTTTGGCTCAGGTCAAGATCCTGGAGACCCGGGATCGAATCCCACGTCGGGCTCCCGGTGCGTGGAGCCTGCTTCTCCCTCTGCCTGTGTCTCTGCCTCTCTCTCTCTCTCTCTGTGACTATCATAAATAAATAAAATAAAAAAATATATTTAAAAAAATAAAAAATCCTGGGGTCCTGGAATCGAGTCCAGCAACGGGCTCCCTGGGTGGAGCCTATTTCTCCCTCTGCCTATGTCTCTGCCTCTCTCTGTGTCTCTCATGAATAAATAAAATCTTAAAAAAAAAAAAGATACCTAAGGAGATGAAAGGAATGAATCATTAGTTCCCTTCTTGCTTCTCTGGTTTTTCTTAGAAACACCCAGAATATTGGGCCCCATGCCAATCTCGTCTCTGGAAGGGGGATCAACCTACAGGCTATAAAGGCAGGTTCCCTGAGGGGCCCTGGAAAACAGGCAATAGGCACATGAGTTACCTATTGTAAGCTCAGGACCTGTATGCTGTCTGTTCACTCTGTTATTTTTGAGTTTCCCTTGTTTATTTTCCTTTTAGTTCCCCTAAATTTTTAGGAAAGTTCCTTTGGCAAATTCCCACTAGACCCATACCACGTTAGGGAAAGGAAACAAGAGGCCTTGGTGTTTTTCCACCCTTGGAGCAGAGGGGAAAAGGGAGGAGGCTGGCTCCCACCGTCTCAAGTCTTTGCAGACAACCCAGGCAACCAGGGTCAGTGCACCTGGATCTAGCCGCTCAGGTGTCCCAATGAAGAGCAGAGTTCAGCGATCCCTAGGTGGCTCAGCTGTTTAGCGCCGCCTTCAGCCCAGGGTGTGATCCTGGAGTCCCAGGATCGAGTCCCACGTAGGGCTCCCGGGCATAGAGCCTGCCTTTCTCTCTGCCTATGTCTCTGCCTCTCTCTCTATGTCTATCATAAATAAATAAATCTTAAAAAAAAAAAAAAGAGCAGAGTTCAAGTGCACTGGGGACGCTTCCATGACCTCACCACCGTGCCTGCTCCGCGAAGAGTGGGGAGAGCCTCAGGTTGTTCCCTCAGTGACATGGGCAGCACAGCAGAATAGAATGGTCGTCATCATTGTTGCATTGGCAAATTCACTTCCTTAGCACAGGAGAATGAAGTAGAGTCCAGTTTTATGTATTTGATTTAAAAAGATGGAATTTGGAAGTTAGTATTTTGTGAAACCCAGAACTAACAATACCAGTTCTTTAAATTCTATACATTTAGTAATTATTTTGTTTTTAACCTTAAAAAAAAAACAGCTTACAAAAGACATGTTCTTCAGAGTTGTGTAGGAGTCATTCATATATTAAACATTTGAAAAAAAGAGATGCTAAAATCTAATGGACTGTTACACAGTTAATTGCTTTGATGAAAATAATCAGGACAGCCTGGGTGGCTCAGCAGTTTAGCACCGCCTTCAGCCCAGGGCGTGGTTGTGGAGACCCTGGATCCAGTCCTGCTTAGGGCTCCCTGTATGGAGCCTGCTTCTCCCTCTCCCTCTGCCTGTGTCTCTGCCTCTCTCTCTCTTTCTGTGTCTTTCATGAATAAATAAATAAAATCTTTAAAAAAAAAGAAAGAAAGAAAGAAAGAAGAAAGAAAGAAAGAAAGAAAGAAAGATAATCACTGCTTAAAAATTCTTTACACTTCTATTTTCCAAAAGTTTCACAAATAAACAGAACTTTTACAATAAGGAAATATTATTTGTAAGTGTAAAAATTAAAAGAATAGCTCCAGTTTTTCAATTTTCTACTTTTCTAAGTTTTTTTAGATAAGCATGTGTTGGGGATCCCCTGGTGGCTCCGTGGTGTGGTGCCTACTTTTGGCCCAGGGCATGACCCTGGAGTCCTGGGATCAAGTCCCATGTCGGGCTTCCTGCATGGAGCCTGCTTCTCCCCCTGCCAGTGTCTCTGCCTCTCTCTTTGTTTCTCTCATGAATAAATAAATAAAATCTTTTTTAAAAAAAGATAAGCATGTGTTTTTCTTATAATAAGATATTTTATTTTGTTTTGTTTTTTTCCTAAAGATTTTATTTATTTATTCATGAGAGGCACAGACAGCGAGAGAGAGGCAGAGACACAGGCAGAGGGAGATGCAGGTTCCATGCAGGGAGTCCGATGTGGGACTCGATCCCAGATCCTGGGATCATGCCCTGAGTCGCAGGCAGATGCCGAATCGCTGAGCTACCCAGGCATCCCTCTAGAACCTTTTTTTATAGTTGCTGTTGTTGTGTTTTTTATAAACACAATAATATGTGTTTTTTATTTATCTACTTTAGAGAGAGATCATGCCTGCAAAGAGTACTAGTGGGGTGGGGCAGAGGAAGAGGGAGAAAATCCTCAAGCAGGCTCCCTGCTGAGCACTAAGCCTGACATGGGGCTCCGTTCCAGGACCCTGATATCATGACCTGAGACAAAAATCAAGTCAGATATTTAACCAACTGAGCCACCCAGGCACCCCTATGGTTATATTATTTTTTATACTTTGGTCTCTAGTCCTTTTCAAATTAGCCTTTGTGAATGGTGTGAGGTAGGGGGTCAGATTCATTTTTTCTCCTAATTGTTCCAGCACCCTTTGTTAAAAATAATATCCTAATTGAATTGCTTTGGCACCTTCATTGAAAATCAAATAACCGCATATATGTGGGTCTAGTTTTGAGTTTTCTTTTTCTGTTTTTGTTACATTTGATTATCCTTCTGTCTAGGCCCCATTTTTAACTGAATTTTATAGCTGGTCAGTTCAACATAATCTCTCTGGGCCTCAGTTCCTCATTTATACAATGAACTATTGTAGTTGTCTAATTTGTGAGGCCTCTTATATCTATAAAATCCTATAGTTCTTGGTTCTTAGCACCGCACTGTTCTATTTGTGCCAATCGTTTTTTGTATTGATTCTATAGCTTGCTGGTTTTGAAAGAAGTTTAGGAATGTAAAGATCTGCATGAATTCCCTTTCTTTCCCATAACTCTGGTGTCTCATTTCTGCCTCAAAATTTCAGAAAAGTGATTTGCGTTACTTAATGTTGACTAGAACTAGTAACAGAACCTGCTGTGTCTGCTGGTTTCTCTGGTAGAAATATCTTATAAATGAAGACACCTACCAAAAGTTAGGACCGGGGAGCCCAGGTGACTCAGCGGTTTGGCGCCGCTTGCAGCCCAGGGCGTGATCCTGGAGACCTGGGATTGAGTCTCACATCAGGCTCCTGCATGGAGCCTGCTTCTCCCTCCTCCTGTGTCTCTGCCTCTCTCTCACTCTATGTCTATAATAAATAAATAAATATTTAAAAAAAGGAAAAAAAAGTTAGGACCAGCTATGACAATTGGGTATTCTATAAATAATGTAACTGCATACTTTATCTTGCAAATGAGGGCACTTTTGATATTGACAGGCAGAATAATAATAATATAATCTTATACATACATATTATAACATATAATTAATATATAATAAAATATAATTAATATAATAAATATGAAGTTACTATAATGAAATATATAATAATTAATATACAACATAATTATTCCTGTATAATTATAAGATTGTATTATTATTATTATTATTTTGTCTCTGAGGGGGCCACCATTCCTTAAAGTACTATAATACCTGGTTGATGTGTTTAGTGGACAGAACAAGCTCCTTTTCCATCTCCGTTCTCCAAAAATCCATTTAATATGTCCATGGATAGAGGATGTATCAGATATTAAAGTGATAGGAACAGATACTACACTTGATCTAAGCCAAAGGCTGAGAAGTGATGAAATGGGTAATTATTAATAACTGTGCCAGAACAACAGGTGTAAACCAAGAGTGCCCTGGAATGTATAGTAGCCCTGTCAATAAATCTCTTAGAACTCAAAGTCATTCATTCAATAGCCATTTTTCAGATGCCTAAGTGTCATGGTCTGTATTAGGTACTGGAGAGTCTAAGACAGATAAACTGAAATTCCTGCCCTGAAGAGCTTTCTGTATAGCTAGGGAAGCAGATAAAAAAAAATCAGGCAATTATTGTGAAGTGTTAAGTTCCATGACAGAGTACTGAGGGGGACACTTGACGGGATGAGCACTGGGTGTTATTCTGTATGTTGGTAAATTGAACACCAATAAAAAATAAATTTAAAAAAAAAAAGTTCCATGACAGATATCAGCCCAGGGAAGGAAAGACACCTGAGCTAAGTATGTATGTATGTATTTATTTACTTAGATTTTATTTATTTATGAGAGACACAGAGAGAGGCAGAGATGTAGGCAGAGGGAGAAGCAGACTTCCTGCAGGGAGCCTGATGTGGGACTCCATCACAGGACCCTGGTATCGTGACCTGAGCCGAAGGCAGTTGCTCAACCGCTGAACCACTCAGGTGCCCCAGTTTTTATTTTATTTTTTAAATATTTATTTATTTATTTGAGGGGGGAGGTGCAAAAGAGGGAGAGAATCTTTAAGCAGACTTTCCGCTGATCACAGAGCCCACATCAAGGGCTTGATCTCCTGACCCTGAGATCATGACCTGATCCAAAACCAAGAGTTGGATGCTTAACTGACTGAGCCACCCAGGGGTCCCTTGAGCTACGTTTTTAAACAACAAAGTGTTACCAAAGGGTTTGCTGAAGGTGGCAGAGGGTATGTTGTTGAAGGCTTTCAGGTACCAGCTAAGTAATTGGGACAATGAAATAACAGTATTAATAGCAAGTTAGATTTGCATAGCCTTTTAGAGAATTGTCAAAAATTGGGTTGCTTGCCCAGAAGAAAATAGAGAAGCAACAGTGTCAGCATAGCCAGAGGAAATGAGAATAACAATCCATAAAAGAGATGAGCACTCAGCTCCTCATGCAATTTCCATGGAGGCCAATCAACAGCTGCTCCCAAGGGCCCTGTTCTCCACCCACTTCTCTTTCTGCATTCCCCCTGGATGACCTCATCCACTCCCAAAGTTTCAAAGGATAGTTCCTTGTTGATGCTCCTAAATGGGTATGCTAGTCCTGGGCTTTCTGCTGAACTGCAGGTCTGAATATTCCCTGCTCATTGACTCAAATTTAACTTATGTACTAACATTTCCCTCCCTCCTCAAATCTGCTCTCTTCTCTGGTGTTCTATATTTTACAGAATGACCTCTCTGTCTACTCTGTTTTTTTTTTTTTTTTAAACAGGAGAAAATCAAATTTATTTATTTGTTTTTTAAGTTTTTATTTTTATTTATTTTTTGTTTTTTGTTTTTTAAGTTTTTAATTCCAGTACAGTTAACATGCAGTGTATTTCGGGTGTACAATATAGTGAATCAGAATCCTATACATTACTCAGTGTTCATCAAAATAAGTGTACTGTTAATCCCCTCTACCGGGATGCCTGAGTGGCTCAAGGGTTGAGCGTCTGCCTTTGGCTCAGGTTGTCATCCTGGGGTCCTGGGATCGAGTCCCACATGGGGCTGCCCACAGGGAGCCTGCTTCTACCTCTGCCTCTCTCTGTGTGTCTCTCATGGGTAAGTAAAAAAAAATTTTAAGAGATTTTTTTTAAAAATTTTATTTATTTATGATAGTCACAGAGAGAGAGAGGCAGAGACACAGGCAGAGGGAGAAGCAGGCTCCATGCACCGGGAGCCCGATGTGGGATTCGATCTCAGATCTCCAGGATTGCGCCCTGGGCCAAAGGCAGGCGTCAAACCGCTGCACCACCCAGGGATCCCTAAATCTTTAAAAAAAAATCCCTTCTTCCTATTTCACCTGTCCCCCCACCCACCTTCCCTCTGGTAACCACCAGTTTGTTCTCTATATGTAAGAGTCTGTTTCTTGATTTGTCTCTTTTTATCCTTTGTTCATCTGTTTTATTTTTTTTAATTCCACATATGAGTGAAATCATATGTCATAGTATTTGTCTTTGACTTATTTCACTTAGCGTTATACTTTCTAGCTCCATCTATGCTGTTGCAAAGGTTTCATTTTTTTTTTAAGATTTTATTTATTTATTCATGAGAAACACAGAGAGAGAGGCAGAGACACAAGCAGAGGGAGAAGCAGGCTCCTCGAAGGGAACCCAATGTGGGACTTGACACTGGATCCCGGGATCACACCCTCAGCCAAAGGGGCTCAACCATTGAGCCACCCAGGCATCCTGTCTCAGTGCTCTTCAAGCCCTATTTAAATTCTCTTGATTGTAAGATCCCCTTCCCCACCTTTATTTAGCCTCAGCCAAAGAGGAGAACTGAAGCTTTCATTAAATTACTCTGGCCCTTTATTAAAGGCTTGCTTGAGAGACAGTTGGGATTTGGCTTGCATTCTTTTCCAGCCACCTGAATGGCAGGTTGAATGGGCTTAATGGATCTAAGACGATGACAGGGAAGGCCAGTGACTAATGCATTTAGCCACCTTATTTCCAGAACAATCACCTGAGTGAAAACCTTCTTGTCATCCTTGATCAACCTTGTTAAAGGGAGTTAGGCTGGTATCAGTCCAGTGCAGAATATGTGCTTGTACATACATGATATTGAGAAATCAGAGCCTCGTTTTACAATATCCCTCCCAGGTTTTGCTTCATGGTAATGATTCTCATTCTCCATGATCTGTCATCAACACTGGCACTTTTGATTACCTTCTCCCTGAAACTCCAATATCCTTTAATTTCAGTGACCTAACCCTGTATCATTACTTCAAAGGCAAAACAAAGTTAAGAACTCTACTCTCACCACGGGGAGCCTGGCTGGCTCAGTCAGGAGAGTATGCAACTCTTGATCATGGCATCTGGAATTCAAGCCCCATGTTTGGTATAGAGATTACTTAAAAAAAAAATTTTTTTTTTAAATTAAAGAAGACATGTGGAGTCAAACTGCTGGGGTTTGACTCTGGGCTCTGTGACTTGCTGAGTGGGCTCAGGCAAAGCTCTCTGACTCAGAGAGCTTAAGCGATAGTACTTACATCATCAAGTTATTTTGAGAATTAAATGAGTGAATAAATTTTAAACACTTAGAATAGTACCTAGAAGATGATAGGCACTTAATTCATTGTCATTGCTTTATATTTGAAATCTCTCTGTTGCCTTCTTTGGCTCCTCTTCCAGTTCACTAAATGTGACTCAAAATTTGTCTATTTACCTTTTCTCCTCTACATAATTTCTCTCTCTCTGTCTCTCTTTCTCTCTCTCCTTTTTAGGTATGTAATCCTTCCTGTGGAAGGCATTGTATGGGAAGAACTGTGGACTCCACACTGGTTCTGATTTTTCTCCTGAGCTCCAGCCATACTTTCAGTGCCTACCAGATACCGACTTGGTTGTCTCGATAGCACCAAAATCAACACTCCCAGATCTTGACTCATCGTCTCAGGGAAACATATTCTTTGATGTCTTCCAAGACTTCCATGTCCATCCAAGTAGTTAATGAGCCCTTTATAATCTTTTATCTATATCCCTTCCATTTCTAATGCAATCCCCCAATTTCAGCCTATCTGACCTCATACTTTTCCAATTGCTTTAGGTTTCTTTTACCTGCACATCACCATCAATTAATCACAGATTGTACAAAAAATGTCCCAAGATTCTTCTTTTCAGGAAAACTCAGGACCTCTCTCTTATCTAATATATAAAATCCAAATCCATAACTCAGCATTTAAGGTTTTCCTGGCTCTGGCTCCTAACCGTCTCCCCTTTCTCCCCGTATACTTCTACACACACCCATGTTCTAGACACCTTGACTTCCTCAGCCTCTGTATCTTTACTCACATCACTCAGCCTAAGATGGCTCTCCACCCAACTTTGGCTATTGAAATCCTAAATCCTACTTATCCTTCAAAACCTTATGTACATACTACTTCTTCAAGGAGGCCTTTCCTGACTACTCAGTTCCCTTAAGCTCTGTCAGACTTTCCACTATTTTTATTACACTTATCACATGCTGTCCTATAATTATTTACTTCCATGGCTTGACTCCCCAGATAGATTGCAAACATTCTGTGGGTAGAGATCCTATTCTGCATATATCTGTGCATCAGACTTGCCTGGTTCAATACCTTTCATATAGTAGATTTTTTTTTAAGATTTTATTTTTGAGTAATCTCTACACCCAATATGGGGCTTGAACTCACAAACTCAAGATCAAGAGCTGCACATTCCACCAACTGAGCCAGCCAGGCATCCCCATATATAGATTCTTTTTTTTTTTTTTTTCATGAGAGACACAGAGAGAGTGGCAGAGACATAGAGAGAGAAGCAGACTCCCTGCATGGAGCCCGATGTGGGACTCAATCCCCAGACCCCGGATCATGCCCTGAGCCAAAGATAGATGCTCAACTGCTCAGCCCCCCCCCCGGGGGGGGCATATAGTAGACTCTTAATGTGAATGGATGGATAAAATCATAAGTCTATTTGTATCTGTGTATAATTTTTCCAAAAGATTTCGTGGTAACAACTGCTGCCATCAAGTCATAATCTAAACCAGAAAATACATTTGGCAAATAATTAAATTTCCTTGGCTCATTAAATCTTGTAATTTGGGAAGTGGCTTCAGTGATGTGGTCATTTTTCTGATAAGCCCCAAACCCAGACCATCAGTTCATGAAAAGTCAACATGTGGAAATGTTTATCAGCCACTAAATGCCAGAACAGAGTGGTTTTGGTGCTGCCAACAAGCAATCATTTGATCATTTAATTCTTTATATATGGGCCTGGAAGCTCATATAGGAATCGTGAGAAATATAAAAACAGTATAAGATGTTACTATTTCATGGAGACTTTTGATCTGATTATGAGACAAAATCAGCATACTTGAAATAATTTAAAA